AAAAAGAGGTTGGGCTTGGTGGCTCAGCCTGTAATCCCAGCATTTTGGGAGGCCAAGGCAAGTGAATTGCCTGAGCCCATGCGTTCGAGACCAGCCTGGGTAACTTGGCAAGACCCTGTCTCTATAATACATCAAAAATTAGCTGGGTGTTGTAGTACACGCCTGCAGTTCCAGCTACTGCAGTTCCAGGTTGAGGCAGAAGGATGACCAGAGCCCAGCAGGCTGATGCTGGGGTGGCCGTGAGCATGTCACTGCACTCCAGCCTGGGCAACAGAGTGAGACTCCAACTCAAAAAAAAAGGAAAGAAAAAGAAAATAATCCCTGCCCTCTCTTAGTTGTCCATAACCAGGACCAGGCCTCCTCTGAGAGTATCTTGCTATGTCCACCATGGGAAACAAACAAGGCCACCCCTTAATCCTGGTTGTGTAACTACTTCAAGGCTGTATAATATAGGCCCTAAAGTGAAGACCAGAGAGATGACTGACCAGTACTGGCAAAGAGGAACTCAGCACATGAAGAACTACAGCAGAGAAAAACAATATTACAAGAAAATCTTGTTAGGGGGCCATTTATGAGAAATCTATGGATCAACTAAGAAGTAACCATGACAATACTTGCAATTCACCCTGAGACAGAGTGAGGAATTAAAATATCATAGCCTCAGGTATAGATATCCCATGGACATGCATATAGTCACCCTGTGAGGAAGAAGGCAAGGACAAATTCATGGCTGACTGAAAGATTCTTGACACCTAAACCATTCCTTGCATGCCTGGAGGCAGCAGGTATTAGGGCAGATTAGAGAGTACATTGCTAAGAACAATACACATAGCTCAGCAGTGTCCCTCAAAACATAAATGACAAGGACGTGTGGAAGTCAGCAGAGACTTCCTGGCTGAAGAACAAACAGAGCTGTCTCTGGAACAACAACAACAACAAAAAAAAAAAAGAAAGAAAGAAAGAAAGAAAAAGACCAGTTAAGGATATAGGGGGGAATTATAAGAGCCTTACCCTGAGATGTTATAAGTGCAAAATTCTCTAGCATCACATCACGGTAAAAGAACTTCTGAGCCTCATCAAGGAGCTTCCACTCTTCCTGGGAGAAGGAAATAGCCACGTCCTCAAAGGTCACAAAATCCTGTCATGGGGACAGTCACTCTGTAACCAGTGTTTCTTTTAGAACCCCAATTTGATTCCATCATGCATAAATCTCTGGCTTATCCTCCTCCCCATTTCTCCACATGAGAGAATATAACAGGACCTGGTACCACTGATTCCCACCCTCTCTTCATGGTCCCATTGGTCACTGTGTCCTCCCACAGGAACAACAAGTGGATGGACAGACATCTAAGCTCTGAGCCTGTAATGGAAGGAACCATCCTGCCTTGTCAATAAATTCCCTTGGAGTCCCCGGACCATGACTCCGAACCACAATGAACAGCATGGGTTTACACTTCGCTCCCATGTCCTCAATGTCAAGGCCCTTGTAACATCAGTTCACATTCCCTCTGCATGTGCACATCAACCTTCCTACCACACCTCTTACCTAACTGTACTTCCACGACCACTTCTGCCATAATCCCATACCATAGGCATCTAACCTGCCTTCCTGCATGTTACTCAGAACATGACATTCAGAAAATGCTTACAAATTAAAACAGAATTCAGGATTACCCAGAATCCCAATGGTCCCCACTGCCACAGGCATTCCCAATTCTGCTCTGAATGCTTCCCATTCTGGTTGGCTGGGGTTGTTCCTTAGTACAACCTCAGCCAACCAGAATGACCTGCAGATCTCAGATATGCATGACCCTTTCCAACTTGTGCTGCTCTTAACGGTAACTACCTTCCTTTCTTGCTAACCTTCATTCAAATCTTTGCCCCAGTGTTTCTCTGTCCATGTTCAGTGATTCTCCCAAACATCCACTTGTACAGCTAACTTGTCTACCAATCTGTATAACACACCAACAGTCACGTAAGATTCTGGTGAGTCTATAGAACAGTAAATAAGCACTAGTTCTGGCTTCAGTATCATCTTGTCTAAATTACTCCTAGGCATCCATGTCCATCTTATGTTTACTCATCTTTCAGAATCCCTGATCAACTGCCAGACTAACTTCTCTCCCACACTGTCCCCAGGGCCATTTCTTTCTGTAACCTCTGTGACATCAACTAGTTCCAACCAAATACCCAAGTATAAGACCTGCCTTTGTGTCCCCTACTTCTCTGCTATCTGGCCTTCCTAACATTAACATTCGGACCAGGATTCCCTCTATGAAATGTGACCCATTATCATTATGGGTTAAATTTTTCTTTCCACCCCTAAATTCCTATGTTGAAGCACTAACACAGTAAAGCTTGATTGATAGTATTTGGAGTTGGGGTCTTGGGTGATGATTCGATTTAGATCAGATCAAAAGAGTGGAATCCTCATGATGAAATTTGTGCCCATATAATAGAAAAAGGAATATTTTGCTCTCTCTACATGCTTCCTCCCAGAAAAGACCTTGTGAAGACAAAGCAAGAAAGCAGCCATTGCAAGCCAAGAAGTAGGCCATCAAAAGAAACGGAATCTGGCAGCACCTTGATCTTGGATTTCTCAAGCTCCAGACAGTGAGAAATAAAGTTGTTGTTGTTTAAGCTACCAGTCTGTGTATTTTATTAACAATCCAACCGAATTAAGACAAAGAGCTCCATTCTAGTGCACACACTACTCAGCACCCTTAACAGAGGCCTCCAACCTGTACCCCACCCCACAGTCCAAGACCTGTGTATACAGCTACTCACTTGATACATCTATTCATCTATTTTCTGAGCATTTCATATCTTAAACATAAACATAACAAACTCCTGATATCCTGAGTGAAAATTAACTCTGGTTTCTACTTACTTCTCCTAGTACATACAGCTTCTATCCTTCCATCTACTAAGCCCAGAAATCTTTCAGAAATCCCTTTTACTCTGTCACCACCTAACTGCAAATCTACAATTCAGAATCAAATCATTTCTACATGCTGCAGCCATCAAACTGGGACACGACATCAACACTTGGTATATTGCAATAGCCTCCTCCCATGTCTTGCTACCACATCTCTCACACTCACAGCCTGTTGTCTGAGCTCAGCCACAACGAGCCTGACAAGGCCTGGGACAGATCCTTTCTTTGCTCCAGACCCCCCATTTCTCCCATCACCTCCACAATAGACACCCAACATTTGAGAGGCCCATTTCATATCAAACTCCTGTATCCATGCTCTCTGTTCCCATGAGTAAGAAATGAGAATTGAGAGGTTTTTTTCTGAATCATCCTCAGCTCCAATCATCTCCAAAAACCAATTTGTGTCTGGGACAAACTTTCACATCTCATTCTATTTATCAGCAATAAAAACCATCCCATATAACCTCTGGCTTGAACTGAGGACACTGGGCAAAGAACCTGTTCGGGGTCAATATACCCAATGCCTGGAAGAGTGTCAGGAGAAAGGTCCCAGGACACCACAGTCCAAGAGATCACAATGCTGGGACAAATCAGGTTCTGGACATCCCCCAGTCACCCTTGTAGGGTCTGTAAGTGCTTCTATACTAGTGGCAACATGTGGGAGAAAAGAAGTTCTGAGAGGCAAGTGACGACGGTACGGCTCAATGGCTTCCCTGTTGCAGGGTGACCTGAGATGGCCGCATCATATCTGGCTGTCAGTCCTTGGTGCTGACTTTTACCAGCTATGTGACCCGGTAAAAGACGAAGTCCCTCTGTGCCTGCTATCATCATTCTCCTTCCAGCGTGATCCTCTGAACAGCTCTTGTGAACTCTCAAAGGCGTCATTGAAGCCACGTACCTCTTCTATCCAAACGCTATAACTCCCGTGTTCTGGAAAACGGCAGTGGGGCAATCCAGGCGCAGCGCTGCCTCACATTTTGTTCTTTGCACACACCCAACCTGGGTTTCCCGAATCCTCCCGGCTGGGTCGAACCTCCAAGCCTCTCCACGTGCCGGTCCCTCTGCCTGTCACACTCCGTGTCCCCATCTCACTGTCAGAAAAAGGAACTCCACCTACCAGCACCTCACAGACCTTGGCACAGGGGTCTGGGCTGCAGAAAAGCGTCTGGGCGCCTCTAAACTGAGCTTTAGGACTTGGGTGGGTGAGGGCGGAGAAAGTAGCACTTGCCTGAGCCGGGTCCCTCAGCGCCGCCGCCGCCATCGGACTCTGAGAGCGGACTGGGGACGGGAGAGACCGATATGGGCGGGGACCCGGGCAAAGCCGTTATCACCACTGCCTACCCTCAGATCCTTGTGCTAGGAGAGAGCGATCCTCTCCAGCTTCTCCCTCGGTAACCTAGGGCCTGACACAGCGATGACAAGATACCGGAGGAAAGCCAAGATGTCCGCCCCGAAGAGGGGACCGGAAGTCCCGCCCCCAACGAGTTAGCACTATCAGAAATGCCCCGTCCCTGAGTCTTCATTGGCTCACTGCCTAGGTCTGTTGGCGCATGGTCATCTGGGTAATGTAGTTCTCACCGCTTCCTAGGCTGGGCAAAGGAAGGGGGTGTTCAAAGTTTTGGCTTCCCCAGGCGGGATCTAGTAACATTTTGGCTCCTCTGGGCCACATGGAGTAAAGAGGCTTTGTCTAGAATCAATTTGAGAGAGACCAAATGTAGAAAAGGGAACATGAACTCTAATAATACCTTCCACCCTTGCTGGGGCCCGCCCCGCAAGGGTCCTGGGAAGTGTTGAAGGAGAGACGGATAGGCGACAAATGAAGATCATATACTGGACACCTGCTTCTTGAACAGATGACAATTTAATGCTAGTTAATACAGAGCTTTTATACCATTTTTGAAGGGGCAAGACAAAGAAAACTCTTTCACATTCATATCCTTTAAAAGTTACCAGCTAGTGGTCTTAGTAGCGAACAAACCAAGATTCCCATAGGTCTTAGTAGCAAACAAACCAAGATTCCCATAGGCTTCCAGACAACGTCTTATTCATAAAGCCAACAATGATACTTTCAGTCCAATGTCCCAAATTACAGTTCTTGAAATGTTTCAAGAAAGTTTCTTTAAGTGTATATTTCTTTATGTGTCAGGAATTTTCTCATCTTAGGTTCTCATGTCCTTCAGAGTCCTGTGATCGCCTCCCTTGTCCAGATGTCCTCGTTACTTTTCTCTTATCTTGCAGTGCTTGTTTCTAAAGAGAACTCAAAAGAAGCTTTTAGTAATGTTTCCCAGGCCCCTCAAGGTTGCTTTCTGTTTTAGCTGATCTTGTCATAAAAGTGTCTGATTATTATATTATGAGTTCAGTGAAAACCTACTCTATAAATGTTAACTTAGAGCTTTAACTATAGTATTAAGTAAAAACCTTAAGATTAGTCTTTATCCTAAATCAGTGAAAACAGTGTTATAAATCACCTACATAACTCCTAGATAAGTGTTAAAACTTATAATGAATTCATAATAAACTACTATAAACTTGTGCTTGTAAAAATCCTTATGTCTAAACACTAAATTGCATAATCCCAAATCAAATAAGGAATGAATATACTTATATCATTTATTACTTAAGCAATATCTAGTAACTTATAACCAAGTGAAAGAAAGCATTCTTGATGTGCTTCAGAGATTAACCCTTGCATATGTTAGAAAAGGCTAAGTGGCATAGTGGAAAAAATGGAAAAATAAACCGTGATATTTCCAGGTTAGCTGTGAGTACTTCACATAAACATGCCATTTTCTTCTTCCACGACTGCACAGAATTCTTCGGCAGTATCAAACAGCAAAGGTGAAAGACAGAAGGGCTTCAGCTTCCTGGGCTCACCCTGCGGCCCGGGGTCTTCGGCCCACCCGGACCCTGTCAATCAGGTGGGCCTCCAAGGCTGGCTCCCAACACACCCTGGCCACTTCCCTAAGTGAAAGTTGGTGAGCAGGGTCTAGAGATTTAAAGGGATGTCCAGAGTGCATATGGGCAGGTGAAGGGAATGGGGACTAGGAGGAGGTGGTGCACAATCGGTTTCTGCTGAAGATGCCATGGTTGCTGCCGGCGTGTTATCGGGTAGTGAGGGAGGAGGTTTAGGATTAGCAGCTGGTTGGAGGTCTTGTGGAGTTGGATAGGGAGTGGGAAAAGGGAGATTGGTCGGCTGGGAATGAATCTTCTGAGGGTGAACAAGAGGAAGGCAAATTTGTTTGAGAAGGAGTTAAAAGGAGCATGTAACAGGAAGAGTAGTGGTCTGGGAGGTGCACCAATTCAAGAAAAACTTGTATATGAGAAACCTCGAACTGTTTGCCTTGACAGCAGCAATAGAGATCAAGTTGAAGGAGAGTATTAGAGGCTAAAAACCCAGCTTTGGGCCATACCTACTGGTTGAGGGGAAAAAATGAAATGCTCAGGGTGGATGCATCCTGAGACTTTTTTTACTAGGCATTCCAACAGGGAGTCCTTGGCAGTGATGGAATGGATGTTTCCCCTGAGGAATCCTGAGGAGAGAAGAGATTCTGAAGACATTCCCAGGAGAGAGAAAAAGCTTATTCTTGCCCTAGTTGGTGTCCTGAGTCAAGTGAGGAATCTGACCATTTGTACCCTAGTCGGTGTCCTGAGTCAGGTGGGGAATTTGTTTAAGCTAGGAGTTAAGGGAAGAAGGGTGTCCCCCGATTACCTTGATCCTATGTGTGGGACAAGGAAGGCCCCCCCCTTGAGGAGCAAGTTATGTGTGGCATCCCAACAGAGAAATTACCCCTGGTGTCTGGGAGACTTGGTACACCAAGATTTTACAAGATCCAGAGGCTTAGAGCTTCTGAACTCAATGAAAGTTTCCCAGGCATCTGTTTTCAGAACTATGAGACTAAAACTGGGGATGTGATTTGGGGGGGGTCTACCAGTCGATGCTGATAACAATGAGGCACAGCTGGAATGGGTTGCCATAGATAGAAAAGAGCTCTGAAAGAGTAAAAATGAGATAGAGGTCTGAATATCCGTAAGTGAATCGGGGACCTCTGACTAGGAAAGCTAGGAAAGGGCCTTCCTCTCTTCTGGGCAAGGTAGTTAAACTCCTTCATTCTCTGGCCTTCAGGCTATGCCAGGGAGTGCCCTGGCCAGAAGCCCTCAGTTGCCAGAGACTTACTACAGATCATCTGCTGGAAGACTAAAAAAGGAAAGAAAATTCTTGCCTCTTATCCAATCAGGTGATGGCAGCCTGATACCTTTCCTCAGAGCTTTCTAGTTCACTAGAGAGTAGCTCTGGCCAGAACTGCCAGTTGCCTACAAGTTCCAATGCAGTCCACATAGAGACCCAAGTTGGAAAAAGGAAGGAAAGAGCAGGAGGAATCCCTGCAGAGGAGATTCCCCTTATGGGCCACAAAAATGTTAGGTTGGTGCTGTAGATAAAGCAAAGATTTGCACAGAAAATAGATCAGAAACGGAGTTTATTTTTTTACTTTTTGAGTTGGAGTCTCACTCTGTTGTCCAGGCTGGAGTGCAGTGGCATGCTCACAGCCACTGCAGCATTGACCTCTTGGGCTCAGGCTATCCTTCTGCCTCAGCCTTCAAAGGAGCTGGAACTACACATGCACACCACCACGTCTGGCTAGTTTTTGTGATTTATTGTAGAGACGAGGTCTCACCAAGTTGCCCAGGTTGGCCTTGAACCCCCAGACTCAGGCAATCCTCTCACCTCAGCCTCCCAAAGTGCTGGGATTATAGGCTGAGCCACCATTCCCAGCCCAGAAAAAGAGTTTAATCACTCTTCAAAGACAGAAAGGGGGCAGATGCTAAGAGTAGCATGGCCCTGAATGTTTGAGACTGGGGAATTAAGTTTCTTCAGAAGAGGAGGCAAATGTTCTTGGGTGAGATAACACAGGGGCTGTTGCCATGGTGATGGGATGGTGGTCTGTTTATCAAACTTCTGACAGCAGATGGATGGGTGAATGTCATAGGAAAGTAGACAAAAGGTGGGCCGTTAGCTGGAAGGCAAATTCTTGGAACGAAGATGTTAATCTTATTGTCTTGTGACAATAGAATGAGATCTGCCCAGGGTTCTGGAAAACTGGTTGTTCTTCTGGCAAAGGATTATTGTCATGTATGTGCTTGCCTGAGCCTATTCAAGATGACATGAGAAACTCCATTTTTGCCCTTTCACTTTTGTTACTGAACACTTAACCCTTACAACCTTCAGTTTTTTATCTTTATTTTATTTATTTTTTGAGTTGGAGTCTCACTCTTGTTGCCCACACTGTAGTGCAGTGGCATGCTCATGGCCACTGCGTCCTTGACCTATTGAGCTCAGACGATCCTTCTGCCTCAGCCTTCCAAGTAGCTGGAACTGAAATACCCATCTGAAAAATTAACAGCTCACAATTATTTAATTAAATATAAGTACTTCCCTTTTGTAACAGATCCCATTTTAGCTGTTTTAACCCAGAGATGACCCCCTACATAACCTTCCCATAATTATAGGTTGTAACCTTTCTGTAACTGGGGACCTATACCCTTGTTTTCCCAAAACATTGGAAACTCCCCAGCCACAAGTTTCACCTTTATTTGTATATGTTTGCACATTTTGCCATGCTATGTAGCCCACTTGTGGCTTTTGCCTTTATAAACCCTCTGCCTGCTTCATTCAAGGTCAAGAGTTCTTTAAATACTAGTTCGCTCTCAACCGCTGGCTATTAAAGGACTCAAAATCTGACTCTCAGTGTGTTGGTGACATCTTTCTTGCACCTCAGTCACAACATTTGGAGGCCCCAGGGAGATTTGCCAACCTCAGGAGGTGGCCTTGTTCTGGCTTTCCCCAGCTTGGTGGAGAAGTTATAGGGGAGGCACCCCCTGACTCATTCCAGGGTCCTGTAATCTCTCATCTGGCTCAGAGGGAGTTGGGATGACTGCTGATTTCCTCCCACCTCAAAAGAACCCAAGTCTGTCTGCAGTCTCCTGGGAGGTAAACTTCTATTTTGTTCTGGTTGCAACCACAACTCTGTTGAGAGGGTGGGGCCTGATGAGGCTGCTCCTTAGACTCTGTTCATTAAGCTAGGACGTTGGCTGAACAGAGTTTCAGTTAAGTATCTGGTTTCTGTTTGGGTACCCACTTTAATTTCTGACTGCTTATGACATTTCCAGATTCTTGTCATCCTTGGCCCCTTTCTTTCCTTTGCATTCTTGCTGTGCTCTTTGCTACAGGGTTTGCTTCTGCTGTACTTTTGAATTGGTCGTCAG